AGCGCGGCCGCGGTCAGGGCGGCCGTCCTGTTCTGTGTTCTGTGTCCTGCTCTGAGCCGGCACACGGCGGGGCCGCCGCGCCCCTGGCGTCGGGCTCCTCGCACCCCAGAGCCTAACGAGGCGCTGCACGCCTGCCGCTACAGGGCCGGCACACGGCGGGGCTGCCGCGCCCCTGAGGTCGGCTCCTCGCACCCCAGAGCCTAACGAGGCGCTGCACGCCTGCCGCTACAGGGCCGGCACACGGCGGGGCTGCCGCGCCCCTGAGGTCGGCTCCTCGCACGCTAGAGCCTAACGAGACGCCGCACGCCTGCTTCTCCAGGACCGGCACACGGCGGGGCCGCCGCGCCCCTGGCGTCGGGTTCCTCGTACGCCGGAGCGTAATGAGACGCCGCACACCTGTCCTTTGAGCCGGCACACGGCTGGGCCGCCGCGTCCCTGAGGTCGGCTCCTCGCACGCTAGAACCTAACGAGGCGCCGCACGTCCGTCCGGTCCAGGGCCGGCACACGGCTGGGCCGCCGCACCCCTGAGGTCGGCTCTTCGCACCCCAGAGCCTAACGAGGCGCCGCACGCCCGTCCGGTCCAGGACCGGCACACGGCGGGCCCGCCGCGCCACCGAAGCTCGGCCGGTACTTCCGAGGAAGACGGTGTGCTTCGGGGTTTGCGATGCTGTTGATCGCTTATGATGTGGTTCCAGCCGCGACCTGCCAGGAGGAGTTGGTGAACAGAGTTGATTTTGAAAGGATTCGTTTTGTTCCTACAGCGACATGTACTACAAATAGGAGGTGCAAGTGTAACTTAGCACATCAAAAAAGGCCATGGCTTTCTGGTAATGGTTGGGTACATATCACGCGTAAGCGGTTTCTAAATACACGAAGTCGTCATTTGTGACTAGTTTGACCAGTTCGTCCTGCACAAGACGACACAAATCGAACTGAAGCAAAGCCTCTGGCTAGTCATCGTCATCCAATTTAACGAGTTCCGCGAGCTTTGGCGCGTGTCGGCCATGTCATGCGCGTGTCGGCGTGTCGGCCAGTTGTTGCACAACGCCGGAAGTTCTTCGCTTCCTGGCACGGATTCGATGATCGCTTGGGCGGAACAGCCGACTGGGCGGACGTGCCGCCGGCCTGCCCTCTTACCGTCGCCAAGACGGGAGAGGCGGCGACGGCAGGGTAAGCGCAGCTAACTGCTCTCGGCCTGGGGTCAGTGCCGGCTCCGAACCCAGCTGGCTGCTCTCAGCCTGGGGTCGGTGCCGGCTCCGAGCGGTGTTAACTTTGAGAGGCACTGGAGCACGGTTCCGGCTCAAGCGGTGTTTGCTGCGGGAGGCTGGGTTCCGGAGCACCGTACCGGCTCACCCTTCCTGTGCAACTCTGTCAGTGGCCTATTCGTTTTGTATCCTCCCTCCTGCTCGCTTTGGCCTCAGTTCGTCGTGATACCCCACGCCAGCCCGTCGCACCTTATGCGCTCAGGTCAGCCCCGTTTCTGTCCCGCGCTGGCGCTGACCCTTCGGGCTAGTGCTGACCCCCAGGTCATCGCATTGTCCCTGTCTGACTTTAATCCCTGCCGACCGTGAGCTATGTGATCGGAGTTATCCAAGCACGCACGGCATCCGGCCGCTGCTCCTCAGGCATTGACCGAGATCGGCCGCCGGCTCCGCTGTGGCGGGTCGGCGGAGCGGTGACGGCTCCGGGCCGGAGGCGACGGCGCCGGCCTAGATCGGCCGCCGGTAGCGCGGCGGTACTGCCGCTGTCATCCATCAGCCAACCGACCGACCGCCGACGCGGTGTCGCGGACGGCTGGCGGACCGGTCACGTGTCGTTGGCTCGCTGTCCGCCGGGGCTGGCGGGCCGGTCACGTGTCGGTGGCTCGCTGTCCGCCGGCAGGTCTCGCGGTACCCGCTGCGGCGGTTGGCTAGTTTGACTGGTGGAACGCTTGTCGGCGTTTGGTCACGCTGTCTTAGCATTGGCAGCCTGAAGAAGCTAGGCTGCGACCATGACGGGCCTCGCGGGGCATAAGCGAACATGGATGAACAGGTTTCACTGGCAAATCCGGAACACCAGGTTTTTGTATTTGTTTATGTTTTATTTGGTAGTAGTTTCCCTCCTTGTTTAATTAGTTGCTTGTTGCGTTTGCTGTCGCCGTTCGTCATGGTGCCTGCAGGACAGGGCCTTTTGACCAGGTTCAGTAGTCGCCCATAACTCAGGGCGGTCGTTCCCACGTCGTCGAGGTGGCACGATAGGGCACTGCCGTTGCGCAGTACAGCATGTGCCGGCCGTTCACGGCGGGGGAGCCAAGTTATCGGCCCGACAGCCGCCACCGCCTCCCGCCGGCTCGCAAACGGCGCCGCAGCTCCCCGTCGGACCCCGGGGTCACGGGGCGGCGGCGGGTGCCGGTGGCGAGCTGGGGATGCCGTTGGCCCACCGGCCGACCCCGGGGTCACGGGCCGGCGGCGGGTGCCAGTGGCGAGCTGGGGGTGCCGCCGGCCTGCCGGCCGACCCCGGGGTCACGAGCCGGCGGCGGGTGCCAGTGGCGAGCTGGGGATGCCGTTGGCCTGCCGGCCGACCCCGGGGTCACGAGCCGGCGGCGGGTGCCAGTGGCGAGCTGGGGGTGCCGTTGGCCTGCCGGCCGACCCCGGGGTCACGGGCCGGCGGCGGGTGCCAGTGGCGAGCTGGGGATGCCGTTGGCCTGCCGGCCGACCCCGGGGTCACGGGCCGGCGGCGGGTGCCAGTGGCGAGCTGGGGTGCCGCCGGCTCGCAAATGGCGCCGCCGCCCGCCGACCGACCCTGGGGTCACGGCCGGCGGCGGGTGCTGGTGGCGAGCTGGGGTGCCCTTGCGCCGCACCTGGCACGAGGCGTCACGTGGGCGGGTGCTGCAGGAAGGCGACGTATCGGACGTTGTGTTGTTTATCGCCGGCCCCGACGGCTATCGATCGGCTTCCGCTTAGAGCGGCGGTGCGCGACCGACAGACGAACGCCAGCACTTTGTGGCCGCCCTTTCCCTCCAGTCCCTTGTCCATCCCAGCCCCAAGTTAAGCTAGTCGGGGCTCTTTGAACATGCGTTCGGTGTTTGAATTGAACTGTGAGGATTCGTCACGACTTTGGCTCGCGTCTTCTTTGCCGCCATCGCATTAGTTTAGTGCGATCTCATACAGATGGGGCTCGGCCGCGGCGCTCTGATGATGCGCGATGCTGTCCCTGAAGTGACGTGTGATGGCGTATTACCCTCACTCCCCTCACGCTGAAGATCTTCAGATCCTTCAGAGCTTGTGCTGAACTCTGGTGTGAACATTCACGAGTCCCGCAGGATCCCTGTAGGAGCCTTGAAGGTGTTTTTTTTTCAACGTGGGCAGTAGATGTCCATAGCCCGAACCTAGAATTCACGAGTGATGCAGCGCTCCTACGGCAGTCCTGTAGGGCTGCGTGCCGGCTCGGTAGATGTCCATAACCCGAACCTGGAATTCACGAGTGATGCAGCGCTTTTACAGCAGTCCTGTAGGACTGTGTGCCGGCTCGGTAGACGTCCATGGCCTGAAGCTGAAGTTGTAACGCACGTCATGTAAGCGCATGAGACGAGTGTCCAGACTGTCGCAGTCTGCCGCAGCCGTGCTCGGTTGAATGCATGGGACACCTCCATTGAGCTTCTTGGTCAAGGGCAAATATTGTGGAACATGATAACTGATTCTGAAAGCTCGAATTCCAGTTGCTAGCTTTCGAGTTACACAAGTTAAAATGTTTTTTTTTTTTGTTATCGGCAAGTCAGCCGGCCGACGGAGGGCGCCCGCGGTAAGCGGGTGATGGTTACTCACGCGGTAGACGGGCTGCTAACGGGCGTCGGGGGGCAGACGCTTAGCTCGGCGAGAGGTTGTCAGAGGTTATCAAATCAGAAGAGTCGCTCACCTGCCGAACGGTCGGTTGCCTAGGTAACCGACCAGCTGGCTGGTCTGCCTGGTGATGGTCGCCGCTGTTGCCTGCGGTGGAATGGCGTTTGATTGGTGCTCTGCTGGTGCGCTGAACGGCTCGACTTGTTCGCCGACTGATACTCTGTTTACTGCTCTGGTACTCTGTGCGCTCTGCTCCGTGACTGTGCTGTCTGCTTCGTGACTCTGTGCTCTGCTCCGACTCTGTGCTCTGCTTCGTGATTTTGTGCTCTCTGCTCTGTGACTCTGTGCCCTCTGCTCCGTGACTCTGTGCTCTCTGCTTCGTTACTCTGTGCTCTCCTCCGTGACTCTGCTGTCTTCCGTTACTCTGTACTGTCTTCAGTTACTCTGTGCCGTATGTTCCGTGTTTCTGTGCTGTCTGTTCAGTTACTCTGTGCTGTCTGCACAGCTCCTCGCTCCCATCCTCCATTGTTATCGATGCTTGCACGATTGCCACTGTTTCCCCTCGCCCGATTGCCCCTGGTCTGGCCTTCCCCCCCCCCCTCTCTCTCTCTCTCTCTCTCTCCTCTCTCTCTCTCTCTCTCCTCTCTCTCTCTCTCTCTCTCTCTCTCTCTCTCTCTCTCTCTCTCCTCTCTCTCTCTCTCTCTCTCTCTCTCTCCTCTCTCTCTCTCTCTCTCTCTCTCCTCTCTCTCTCTCTCTCCTCTCTCTCTCTCTCTCTATCTCTCTCTCTCTCTCTCCTCTGCTCTCTCTATCTCTCTCTCTCTCTCTCCTCTCTCTCTCTCTCTCTCTCTCTCTCGCTCTCGCTTCTCGCTCTCGCTCTTCGCTCTCGCTCTCGCTCTCGCTCTCGCTCTCGCTCTCGCTCTCGCTCTCGCTCTCGCTCTCGCTCTCGCTCTCGCTCTCGCTCTCGCTCTCGCTCTCGCTCTCGCTCTCGCTCTCGCTCTCGCTCTCCTCTCTCTCATCTCTCTCTCTCTCTTTATATTTCCCTTTCTCCTTCTCTCTCTCTTTTTTTCTCTCTCTCCATCGTCGGATTCGTGACTGCTGAATCGCCCCGCTCCCCAGCTGACCTCCCCCTTCCCCCGCCCCCTCCGCCGCACCGTCTGACCGCGCTCTCTCCCCGTCGGACAGAAGGCGGCCATGAACCGGACGGCGCCGTACCCGCGCCAGGCCGGCCCGCCCGGCCACGCCTTCGGCTTCCGGCGGCGCGGCGCACCGGCCCGCGTTCTGCCCACCGACTCGGCGCCGCCGGCCCGCCGCACCGCCGCCGCCACCGGCACCGGCGCCGGCTCCTCCTCCACCGACAGCCTGCAGTCGAGCTCGAGTGCCGCCAGCGACGCCAACGGCAACCGAGCGCCGGCGGCGGCGCGGCGCGGCCTGCCGCGGCCGCAGGTGGCGCGCGTCAAGCCGCGCACCAGCGCACCAGCGCCGCGCGGCGGCGAACAGACCAAACTGGACGACTCCGGCGTCGGCACGCTGGGAGGATCGCCGACCAGCAGCCTGGGCACGACCACGCCAGCCGAGCAGACCTCGCCGTCGCCGGTGGAGGCGTACCCCGGAGCCGGCGGCGCGTCGACGCCTGGCGATTTCCAGGTGGGCATCCGCACGCAGGACGCCACCATCGCCCTCTCGGTCAACATCCACAAGGGCGCGAACGCCGCGCTCGGCCGGCCGCGCGTCACCGTTAGCGACGCCGGCGTGAGGACGCGCGTCACGCAGATCCAGCGGCCCGGCTTCGGCTTCACACAGCCGGCGGGCCTGACGCGGCCGGCGGCGGCGCCAGCGGCCTCTGGAGCGCGCCCATTCGCCAGCGCGGCCAGGCCGCCGCTCCTGGCGCGTCCGTCGCCGCCGCCGCTGGCGCTGCCGCTCCGCTCGGGCCTCGAGCAGACGGTGCGCAGTCGTGTCACGCGCTGGGAGGAGCGCGTGGACAGGGTGCGGCAGCAGGCGGCGCCGCCGGTCGCCGGCCGCCGGCCGAGCCCGGCCGCCGCGCCGCTGGCCGGCCTCCGCCGCGAGATGCGCCAGCTGACGCGCGACGTGGCCACCTCGCCATTGCACCGCCCGCGGCTGCGCGACACTGGTACCTGCACAGACCTGGGCGGCTCGCCTCCGCCGCCGGCGCCGGCCGCCAGCGCCGGTGGCGAGGCCGGCGAGCTGTCGCCGCTGCTGGCCGCGCACGACTCGCGCGGCGCCGAGGACTTCATCGACGACGAGATCGGCGACCAGCCGGCGTTCGGCGCGTTCGGCGCCGACAGCCTGGCGTCGGATGTGTTCCTGGAGGAGCTGATGGCTGGGGAGCCGGAGACGCCGCCGCTGCCGCCGCTGCGCATCACAGAGCCGGCCAGCGGCGAGTACGTGCGCCCGTTCCGCCTCACGCCGCGCCCCCTGCAGGCACTGACCACGCTCGAGACGCCGCTACGCCGCCCGGCGGACGCCGAGGCAACGTCAGCCTCGGCGCGCCGCCAACAGATGGAGGAGCGGGCGGAGCGGCTGGCGCGCCGCCTGCCGCGGCCGGCGGAGGAGCGCGTGCACCCGATCCTGGGCTCCACCTACCAGCGGCTGGGGCTGCCCGAGCCGGCGCCGGACAAAAACGAGCCCGGCCAGGCCAAGGATGAGGCTGACCAGGAACGGAACGAGCTCGTGCAGGCTCGGAATGAGGCGCTTCAGACCAAGGACGAGGAGCCCCGCCGACAGGACGAGCTGGTCCAGGCCAGGAACGAGTCGGTGAAGGCGCGCGACGGGCCCGGACCGGCGCTGGACGAGTCTGCGAAGCTCCGGGACGAGCCGGGACCTGCTCTGGACGAGCGTGACGAGTCGCGGGACAGGCCGAGGCCGGCGCGGGAGGAGTCTGCGGAGCCGGAGCGGCGGACGAGCCGGCCCGGGCAGCCGTCCGGAGAGACGATCGAGCGAGACGAGGACACACTCAGCGACCTGGAGACGCACGACGCAGGTGAGAGGAGGCGAGCCGGTAGACGGGAGACGCGGCGTTCTGTCATGGCCAGAGCGGAACAATACGTGACCGATTGTGGCATGGAGTTGGATTCTCAGCAGCGTCTCAAAACCCAGCCTCTTCGGTGGTAGGAATGTCAACATTCTTTTTTTCTGGTACCACACCCCGGCTTGGGGGTCACCGTCTGTACCCCCACCCCTGTTCAAAATCGGTCAGTCGGCGTCGAGTCGGAAGGCGGTCAGCCTCGCCTCCAAGCGCCTCAGGCTTGACAAGTGGGCCGGCCAGGTCAGATGTCTGGGCTCTGGCCAAGGGGCAATAGGTTGGGACCAAGGAATTGGGTGTGGAGGCCGCCAGAGGACCAGGATTATGGTAGCTTGAGTTTATATTTTTAATCTGCACACCCGACTGGACGAATTTTGCGACGCCACTCCTCGGAGGGCTGTGTCCGGGGATGATGGTAGCAGAGGTTTCGTCTACTTTTGTTCCAGCGCGACCAAAATCGATCCTGGTTTTAATTTTAGCCTGAGGGTCATGTTTTTGTTTTAAGTCCAGAAGTGTTTGCCACTGTTGGGCACCCGTGCAGCTCACGAGCTACCCCTGAATGTGGCAACGTTACACCGATGGGCCACGTCACCGCCCGGTGCGTCGTACTGTGTCGTCGCTCGGTCTTCTCACCTGTCTGTCCGCCCGTCCGTCAGCGCTGTCTGGCTGCCGACCGCGGCGTGCGTCCTCCTGGCGGCGGGTGTCAGAACTACGCGATCTGGCTTCGCCCACCGACAGCCTGGGCTCCGACGACCTGATGGCCGACTTCGATAAGGACTCGGACACGCTCTGCGACGACGACGAGAGGTGAGTGGCACCAGCGGGCTGGACGCTGCCGAAGCCGCGCGGTAGAACAGTGGGGCTGGAGGAGCCCCACTAGAAAACCGTGGTGCTGGAGGAACCCCACTGGAGAACCGTGATGCTGGAGGAGCCCCGCGGAAGGACGGTGGGGCTGCATGAGCGCCTCCGGAGGCCGGAAGGGGCCGGATGGGCGCCTCTAGAGGGCGGCAGGGACTGGAGGAGCGCCTCCGGAGGCCGGAAGGGGCCGGATGGGCGCCTCTAGAGGGCGGCAGGGACTGGAGGAGCGGCTCCGTAGGGCGGAAGGGGCTGGATGAGCACCTCCGGAGGACGAGGGCGGCAGGGACTGGAGGTAGCGCAAGGTTAAGCGGTCCACCGAGCGGTCCGACGCGTGTGCGGGCTCGACGCGACTCACCGCCGACGGGCCGCGGCGCCGCTGCACCGCGCCGAGCCGGAGGGCCGTCACCCGCTGGGCCCGGCCGGCTCCCCTCCGTTGCCAGGGGACGCTGTAAAGAAGAGATCCACGTTCTTTGGCGGCGTACGCTCACAGTGGATCGCCAAAAAGCGCCAAATAAAAAAGGCGCCTTCAAAACGCGACGTGACGAAGGCAGCACACCGGAACCAATGGATCAGTAGGCACTTATAGTCGCCGGCAGATACGCGCTATAGCAATGCCCGCGGTGGATTTATTTTATTACAAATCACAGACTTCGCCGGCCATACCGCGTGCCGAGCGAGGCCAGACCGTCTCGTGGCGCTCGGGCGCTGACGGCGGCCGTGACGTCACGGGCCTGCCGGCACCGTGTGCGTGCGGGCGAAGCCGTTCCCAAACGCGGCGTGAGGACGCTGGCCAGCCAATCAGCGCCGGCCGCCGGCTGTCTGGTCTGATTACCGGGGCAGCGCAGCGGCCATGATACGCTATCGGCAGGCAAAGTGACGTCAGCCGTGACGTCACCGGTTGACGTGGAGCGTCGGCCGGATATGTCAGCACCGTTGCCGCTGGGCTGAGCCAGCGGCATGCGCCGTCTGCTCGGCGCCGGCTCCGCTCGCTGCCGGTCTCCGCCACCTCCCCCCCCCCCCCCCTCCCTCCGGGGTGCAGTGGATGGGGAGGGCTGCGGTGCCGGCGCTGGCGACGAGGCTGCTGACGATGCTGTTGCTGATGCTGTTTGGTCCGGGTGCCAGTGCTGGCGGTGGCACGTCAGTGGCTCTGGCGCTGGCAGTGGTATGTCGGGGAGCGCTGGTGCCGCCGTCTGGACGCCGACGGATGGCACTTCGGGGGGACTGGGACTGAGGCCGCCGGAGTTGAAACCGCCGCTGGTGCGCACACCGCTGGTGGAGCTGACGCTGGTGCTGCCTCTGGTGCCCGTTCGCCAGCGAATTGAGTGCACAGAGGGTGTGCCGCTCCAGCCGCGCCGCTCCCCTCAGTCGCCATACGCCCAGCGCCCCCCCCCCCCCCTCCCCCAACATCATCACATCGGTCAGCGTCGACACAACTGCCGTCGCCAGGACGGCCGGCAGCTAGCGGCCGCGATGCCGGCGGCCGGCTCGAGCCGGCGCCGTCACGTGTGTGACGTCACAGTCGCGATAGGGCACCCGGCTATCGTTGGCCCGTGGGGACGGCGGCCGGCTCGAGCCGGCGCCGTCACGTGTGTGACGTCACAGTCGCGATAGGGCACCCGGCTATCGTCGGCCCGTGGAGGACGGCGGACGGCTCGGCCGCTGCCGCCGGCCATGGCTGTGGGGCTTCGGTGACGCTGGCCCGCCGCCGAGCGGGGAGAGGCGCGTCCCGACAGTGCCGGCGAACCGGACCACGGGACCGGACCACGGCACGGACCACGGCATCGGACCGCCGGACGGGACCACCTGAGCTGGGGACTGGACAGCGTGACCTTCCGGCCGGCCCGGGATGGGCCAGACGGGCTCGGTGCGCCTGCGACGGTACGTGGCGGGCTGTGTCAGATCCTCCCCCGCCCCCGCCTGCCGCCGTCTGCCCGTCCGTGCCGCGGGTCCGACCGTGCGCCTGCGACTCTGTCCGCCTTCTGTGGAGCGCGGCGACCGCGGCTGCTACGACCCCGCCGGGCGCGCGAAATGTGGGATAGCTTCGGGCCTTTCGGGTCTGGGTTTCGGGTCGGGTCGGGTGGGGGTCGGTTTCGGGTCGGGTCGGGTCGGGTCTGGTCTGGTCGGGTCGGGTCTGAGGTGCTTCGGGTCTTCAGGTCGCGGTTGTCGACGACATTCCCGATGATTGACTTGTATGCTTGATGACATTGACCTGGCTCATTCGTGGCCATGACTGCCTTTTCGAGAACGAAAACGCCGAGAACATGTCGAGAACGCTCGACGTTTTGACCGCCTCGAAGCACTCATCACGAGAACACTCACTGATGTGAGTGTTCTCACTCTAGTGCGATGGCTCCATTATGGTGTGTGATGTGATGACTCACATCACCAGTGATGAGATATGTGTGATGTGTGATGCGATGTAACTAGTGATGACTCCATAACGGTGTGTAACTAGTACCTCGGGGTACGGAGAGTGTATGGTATTTTTATCATAAAACTCAACACGAGAAACCGCTGGACGAAGGCCTTCCGTACTCATATGAAAATAACATCATCGGTTCGACGAATAGCTCCCAAATATAAGAGGAAGAATGAAACAATTAAATCCAAATATACGATTAGAGCTGGTCGCCCCAGCTTCTATCCACACTGACTTTTGTTTGCTTGTCTGTGCGTTCGCTGTCGTGATTGTCCAGATTCTCAGGCCATTCCCTGGCAGCCGTCCGGCCGGCCGTCATTGGGCGCCCGCACTCCACAGGCGCCACGCTCGGCCCGCCCTCCACAGGCGCCACGCTCGGCCCACCCTCCACAGGCGCCACGCTCGGTCCGCCCTCCACAGGCGCCACGCTCGGCACGCCCTCCACAGGCGCCACGCTCGGCCCGCCCTCCGCAGGCGCCACGCTCGGCCCGCCCTCCACGGGCGCCACGCTCGGCCCGCCCTCCACAGGTGCCACGCTCGGCCCGTTCTCCCCGTGTCCGACCCGTCAACCGTGTGAAATATTTAGACACTAATGGTCTTACCCGTTACGTGCGTCAGTGAATTGTAGGGCTGTTATTGGCCGACCTGTCCCGTCGCTCTCGCCGCCCCGCCGCTCTGCCTCGCGTTCGGCGCTCTCCGCGCGGTGTCTGTTCGCTTGTACTTTCCTTTCCGCACGGAGGACAGAGCCCTGACAGAGCCCGAAGCCCTGTCCTCGCGGGAATATCCCCCTGTCCTCCAATACCACTGTGAATGTCCCGCTCTGTGCCTGTGGCGGGGCTCGTCGGCTGGCGCGGTGTTGACCTGAACTGACCCGACCCGACCCGACCCGACCCGACCCAGCCGGACGGGCGCTGGCGCTGGGGGAGGGGGGGGGAGTACGCGCAGGCGGACGAAAAGGGGAGACATCGGTTCTTCACGAGCGGTCTTCACGAGTTCTTGGTCTGAAGGGGATGCCACCGGCTGTGGCTGGTCTGCTGTCTTAGCCACCTTGCGATCTGCGGGGCTGGTGGTCTGAAGGGGATGCCACCGGCTGTGGCTGGTCTGCCGCGTTAGCCACCTTACGATCTCCGAGGCTGTTGGTCTGGGGGGATGCCACCGACTGTGGCTGGTCTGCTGTCTTAGCCACCTTGCGATCTCCGGGCCTTTTCGCCACACGCCGGCTGGCTGGCTATCCCATCAGACTGATTCAGTGCACTGGCATGCATAGCGTGGTACTGATATTTATGCCCCATTCTACGTGGAAAGCAGAGCATGGATCAGTGCAATTTGCACTGGCCGTTACGGACGACAAGGAGCCAGTCGTATTATGTTAACTACAGCTGCGCACGTTGTTGTGCCGTTGTGAGGAGGCGCGAGGCGCACCAGACTGGCGTCGGTCACGACCCCAGGCCTGTGGCTGAGCACAGCCGGCGCAGCGGTCAGCGCGGACCCACTACCAGTGCCCTGTCATAGGTCTCCTGTGAGAAGCGCTTACCGAGCGCTGCCGCCGCCCCGGCTCCGGCCTGGAGACCGGCACTGCACGGGCCGTCGTTCTCACCAACGTACTCGCCGAGGGTGTTGTGTTGCCGACGACCGTGGACGGCACCCGGCCAGCGCCTCCGGGCGCGGGCCGCCGCTGCCGCAGCCGCCGGCCCCGCCGCGCCGTCTCCGTTACGCCGAGCGTGACCCGAGCGCCCCCGCGGTCAGGCCCTCCGACCTCTGCGGCTTTCTCGTCGGCGAGTAAAAAGGTGACCCTTTCGCCCCGCGTCCGGTATTTTCCGGCCCCGCTCCCGCCGCTGAGCTTGAGAACCCCGGCCGGCTCGGTTTGGAGACCGCCGTGCGCGGCAGCCAGGGCGTTCTCGTCGTTGAATCGATACGCTGCCGCCGGGTGGGCGCCGCCGCCCCGGCGCGGCCGGGCGCAGTCGAACACGCCCGCGGGCAAGTGCGCGCGCGACGCCGGGCACCTCCGCCGCCGGCGAGTTCGGAATTCGCCGGGCGCCGCCGCGATGAGCTTTCCCTGTTTGGTGCGCGTGCTGAACGTGCGGCGGTGATCGGTGCCGGAGACGGCGGCGGCGGCGGCGGCGACGGCGCGCCTCGCCGGCGCCTCGCGCCCCGCTCCGGCTGCCGTCGGCGGCGTCGTGACAGAGAGTCTGCAGCCAGACGTGTCACGACCGTCACGGACGTCACGCGCCGCCGGCAGCCCATCCCCTCCCCATCCCGCCGCCGGTAGTGCCAGGTGGATCTGTGCCGAGTGGCCGGGTGTGTTTGTGCGGACTTACGCTCACGCGGCGTGTTTGTGTGGACCTACGCTCACGCGGCGTGACAGTCAGCGAGAAGCGGACTCCGCCCTGGTCGACCCGCATTGGACTCCCCTCCTCCCCCCTCACTTCCCGTGGTGGTTGGCCGGGAGTGGATGGCCACCGCTGCTGGGCTTGGTCCGTTCCCCTGCTCTCTGGTGAGCGAGGGCGTTTCCTCTGGAGCGATCGGTCGAGCGCAGACGCTGCCCAGCGGCGTGCGTGGGCTGCCGCGCACTAGCCGGGGCGCGCCTCTGTCTTCTGCCGTCTGGCCTTCGGCCCGTCGGCGGTTGACCCCGCCGCTGGTGGTCGGGCGCCGGCGGCCCGGCCGCCCCGCCAGCCGGCTGCCGGCGGGCCGGCCGTCGACAGGTGCCTCCAGCCTATGTCAACGCAGCGGCGACGCCGGCGGGCACCAGTGGACGGTTCCGTCTCGAGAGCAGTCATCCGGGAGTGGTCCGGGCCGCCCGCGCTTGTAGAAGGAACCGGATCTGGGCACTATCTCCGCATTGTCGGTGGCGTGATCTTCGCCGGTTGTGGGAGTTTTGCAGACCAGCGGTCCTTGTCAGGGGCGTTGCGCGCTTACGGACTGACGGCCACTACAGGCAAGTAACGCGACTGACTAGGACAGCAGTCTGGATTTGGATTCCGGCGATCGCCTCGTGCTGTGCACGTTGCGATGGCGATGGCGATGCGATGCGATGCGATGCGATGCGGTGGCGATGGGACGGCCGTCCCGGCCCGGCCCTCTTTCAGAGCGGCTGGCCGGGAGCGGGCCGGCCCTCTGCAGCAGTCTCTGCGGCGGCCTGTCGACTCCGCCTCGGCGCCGCGCCGGCCACCCGACTGGCGCCGACCTGTTGCGTTTGCGACAGCAGCAGACGACCGGCCGGGCAGACACCTGTCGTCCGGTCAGATGGCGGGATCCTGTCGCCGGCCGTGTCACACCTCGCTCGAGCGCAGTGGCCGACCAGCCGCCCTCGCCGGCGCGTGTGCCGTCCTGCTCGAGCGCAGTGGCCGACCGGCCCGCCCTCGCCGGCGCGTGTGCCGTCCTGCTCGAGCGCGGTGGCCGACCGGCCGCCCTCGCCGGCCGCTGTGGCGGCCGCTGGCCGTGACCCGCGCGCCGCACGCCGCCGGCCGCGTCACGCCGTGACCGGCTCTCACGCCGCGGGCGGCTGTCACGCCGCGTGACGCGGCGACCCTGACGCCCGCGGCGCGAGTTATGGGCAGCTGTTGCTGGCGTCCGCCCGTATCGGAAATCCGTCGCCCGCAGTCGATTTCGCGCCACGCGGGCGCATTTCTGGCGGGTGGGGGTTATGGACAGCTGGTGGCGGCGCGCGGCTCTATCGGAAATTCCCGCGGCTCTGCCGTGTTCAGCCGGGCCGGTCGATCTCCGTTTCTCCTCCGGCCGGCCGGTGTCGGTCGGCCTCCGTTTATCCGGGCGCGTGCACGACCGAGGGGGAAAGTGGGCCGCTGCCGGGCGGGGCGGGGTCTGATCTGGGCCGACGCTGTGGACCGCTGTCACGCTGGCCGGCCAGACCGGGCTACAGCTATGGCGCGGCTGCCCCCCGTCCTGCCTGCCGGCTGCTGCTGAGCGGTGACGGGTTCGGATGTGCGGGCGGGACGGTTGCGACCTCGGGTTCAGGTCATGTCAGGGTTGCAGCGGCACTGGGCGGGCGGCCGACCGGTCCTTGGATGCGCTATGTAAGGGCCACGGCAGCGGCTAGTGTCGGGTGTCCGTCCGTGTCACTGAAGGACGTACGGCAGCAGAGTGTGGAAGAGGACACGACCCGGCACTGGTCGAGGCGTTCGTCTTCTGGCCAGACGGCCCCACCTGGGCCGCGTACCGACCCAGCCCTGTGCCGCTGTCGCGGTGCGGAGCTGTCGGCTGAGCTGGCAGCTCGCGTTACGCCCTTGTGTCGGGCTCAAGGTTATCGCTTCCAGGCCTGCCCAGCACGTACTCTCGCGCTTCACGCCAGCCATGCCAATCGGAGTCTTCTGACCGGCACCTGCCACCAGTCACGACCATCCACGGCGCCCGCCTTTTTGCCGGTCCGGCGGCGGCGGCGGCGGCGGTGCTGGGCGGCTCCGGGGGAGGGGGGGGGGGCACCGGTCCGCGCCGCCCCCGCCGCTAGTGTAGCGGGATCGCAGAGCGGCGTCTGGAGCGTGGAGCGGGACCGGCGGGTCCCGGACCGGCGGTCGCGGCACGGCGCGCGGCCCGCACACCTGTCGCCGATCGATGCCCCGGGTGTGCTACAGCCCCCCCTCCTGGACGCCCTCCGGGCTCGACGGCTGGCGCGCCGGTCCGGCTTCAGCGGCCGGCCGTGGCTTTAGAGGCGCCCTCGGTGCCCGCGGCGACCGAGGGGCTGAGGATTATCAGGGAGCAGCGAGCCGTCTGAGTAGGCAGCCGGAGTTGTCTTCAGTCAGCTGGCGGGTGGAGGGCCGGCGGCGGTGCACACGGGGCCGCCCGGGATTGGTACGACCTGGCTCTGTCCGGGGTACACCGTCGGCGACTGCGGGCGGTGCCAGCTCCCCTGGCTCTGTCCGAGTGTACGCCGTCGGCAGTGCGGGTGGTCCCAGCTCGTCCCGTAGCCCTGTCCGAGGGTTACCACCGTTGTCGGCAGCCCCGGTGGCGCTGTCCGGGGGTACGCCGATGACGGTGCGGGTGGCGCCAGCTCCCCCGTGGCCCTGTCCGAGGGTACGCCGTCGGCAGTCCCGGTGGCGCTGTCCGAGGGTGCGCCGTCGGCAGCCCCGGTGGCGCTGTCCGGGGGTACGCCGTCGGCAGTCCGGGTGCCGCCAGCTCCCCCGAGTCACCGCTGACACTTGGAGCCGCGCTGGAGCCAACACGGACGCTCGTCGCGCCCCAACCCTTCCGGAGCGCCGCGACCTCTGCGCGGGTGTCGGACACGGCGTCGGCGCCGTCCGTCGCTGCTTGACGAGGCGGCGGCGCCGGCGCCGTCAGAGGTGGCCGTGCCGGCCTGGAATGCGGTCACCGGCGCTGGTGCATGGCCGCTCGCTCCAGATGGCACCGGTGCGGCCGGCATGACCAGACGGCGGCCGTGTCATGACCGTGACCGTGTCTGTGTCTCCTCAGCTGTCTGCAGCCCGTTGGCGGTGGCGTGACTCGGTGGCTTTGTGCTGCTGTTCTTACTGCGGGTCCCTTATTTTCTCTTCCCTTGAGACTGCTCCCGTGTTTGTAGATCGGTCCCGATGATCATCTCTCGCTACCGCTTTGTCTTTTTTCCATCTGTTTCTATTGCGGTCCCTCCGACCCGGTCCCGGCCCGGCTCCTTGCACCTGCCCGCCTCTGCCCGCTGCCCTGCCCGCTCTGCCGGCCTCCTGTTCCGGCCGACCGGTGGCTTCTCGGCCTGGCCGGGCGCCGCGGTCCGCTCCGCCGCTCACCTTCTCGTCACCGGATGTGAGCGGCTTCCGGCCTGCCCCGGCGGCCGCTCCCCCGCTCTCTGCCGGGGCGGGGCGGGGGCCCGGCCGGCGGTGAGCGGCCCTGACCACTGACGCCTCCCCCCCCCCCCCCGGCGCCGGCCGCTGGGGGCTACCGCGCGTACGCTTCGACGTCCGGCGGTTTCAGCGCTTTTGCCTCAGCCTGTGTCGCCTGCTATGCGCTTTCCTTTGTCGCAGGCGGCGCCGGTGTCGGCGGTTTTTTCTACGCTGCGGGCGTTCCTTTGTCTCTCGTCCCTCTCATGGCGGTGTTGTTGCCGGGCGGGGGGTTTCCTACACCAGCCGGTTTCTCTCGTCGCCGACCGCGACCACCGCAGCGTCTGCCACCGGCCGCGCCGCCGCTGCCGCCGCTGCCGCTGCTGCGGCCGTGGCTTGCCGCTGCCGCCGCTGCCGCCGCGGAGCGGTGAGAGCGCCGCGTGTTACTACGGCACCGCCGCCCCGCCGCCGCCGCCGCCGCCGGCAGTCCGGCTCGCGGGCCGCCGGGCGCAGTGCGGGAGCGCTGTGTGTGCGGGCGTGCGGGCGCGGGGTCGGAGGAGGACGGCAGGGTGACCGCCGCCGCTGCCGCCGCTGCGGACGCGGTGCTGTGTCGGCGCTCGGCGGGAGGTCGACGTGGCGCCGCCGTCCCTCGGCCGGCCGCGTCGGTGCTGACCGGCGGCACGCCGCGTGTCCGGCAGCAGTCGTCACTTGACAGCAGACCGCCCGCAGCGGCCGGACACACGACGGCGGCGACCGAGACCCGGCGGTCAAGGCCAAGATCAAGGAGCTGGGACGCCGAGACCGGTGCCTGGGAGACGGCCGACGCGCCACAGTGTGTGAACGAGCGTACGGGAGAGGGAAAGAGACTGCGACAGTGCAGACGGAGGAGCGTGTGGGAGAGGGGAGAGACTGCGACAGTGCTGGGACCGAGCGCGTGCGGGAGAGGGGAGAGACGCCACAGTGCGGGAGAGCGCCGCGGCCGGCGCCGGCCGCTGGCCGGCGAGGTCGTCTGCTGACCTGAGGTCAAGCCGCGGCCGCTGGCGGTGTGTGACGAGATGAGGGACCAGCCGCCGGTGGCGCCGGCCCGGCCCGGCCGCAGGGCCGCAGCGTCAGGTAGGAGCGACGACCGGCGCGGGGCGGGACAGCGGAGACGGCGGGGCAACGGGACTGAGGGGGACGGGGGCTGAGCTGACCAGGCGCTGGTGAGCCGTCCACCCACGTGAAACTGGCAACTGGCAGCTAACCTTTGTGTGTGCGTGCGTGCGTGCGTGCGTGCGTGCGTGCGTGCGTGCGTGCGTGCGTGCGTGCGTGCGGCGTGCGTGCGTGCGTGCGTGCGTGCGTGCGTGCGTGCGTGCGTGCGTGCGTGCGGTTGTGTGTACTTCGAGGATGTCGTTTGTTCGACCCTTCTCTGTCAGTGGGACAGACAGGTCGGACGGAATGGCGCATGTATCGGCCGCTCGGCCTGGTCCACCCTTCTGTATCAGAGAAGCGGCGTGTGCTGAATGGTTGGGGGGTTTGCTCGGCCGCGGTCGGTTTAACCCAGCACTCTCGATTATCAACCGATGTGTCGCCGATAAGAATGAGAGCAGTGCTGGCGGCACGTACGCCGGCCGGTTTCGTGTAGCAGGAGCAGCAATCACGATGCAGGGCTGCTCAGAGGCGAGATGTAGCTGCGCTTGGGCCGGGGTCAAGGTCGGGCCGAGGATACGACCGCTGACTGGCGA